TTCTTCTTCTTCTTCTTCTTCTTCTTCTTCTTCTTCCGCCGCTTTTAAATTTGAACTTGTCCGCACCCGTTCTCCAAAACCGCTAGTCGGATTAACTTAGGGTTTCACAATATGTTAGACTAACATGTCTAGTGGTGCAATCAGGGTTTTGTTTTTGCAATGGGGTTTATAAAGGGGTACTTTGAGGGGCAAAAAGAAAAGAGGGTTTTACTATAGAACCCTATGGGATTTTATTTTTTAAAATTTTCAAATGATTATAAATTGAAAACCGTTCGTGATAGACACAAACTTTTTAATTGAAAATGTTCTAAATAATAAAGCCCATTAAATGAAATACAGGGTTAGTCCCCAGGGGTCACCCCCACCCCCTGCCATTTAAGAAAGTTCTAATACCTTGTAAGTGGTCAAGATCCCCACCCCTAAACCATATATATTCTGGTTTGTCATGATAAAGCACATCAAATGTTATACAGGGTTAGTCCCCAGGGGTCATCCCCACCCCCTGTCATTTGAGAAAGTTCTAATATCTTGTAAATGGTCGAGATCCCCACCCCTAAACCATATATATTCTGGTTTGTCATGATAAAGCACATCAAATGTAATACAGGGTTAGTCCCCAGGGGTCACCCCCACCCCCTGCCATTTAAGAAAGTTCTAATATCTTCTAAGTGGTCAAGATCCCCACCCCTAAACCATATATATTCTGGTTTGTCATGCTAAGATGGTTTGAATGATATACAGGGTTAGTCCCCAGGGGTCATCCCGATCCCCTGCCATTTGAGAAAGTTCTAATATCTTGTAAATGGTCGAGATCCCCACCCCTAAACCATATATATTCTGGTTTGTCATGATAAAGCACATCAAATGAAATACAGGGTTAGTCCCCAGGGGTTACCCCCACCCCCTGCCATTTAAGAAAGATCTAATATCTTGAAAGTGGTCAAGATCCCCACCCCTAAACCATATATATTCTGGTTTGTCATGCTAAGATGGTTTGAATGATATACAGGGTTAGTCCCCAGGGGTCATCCCCACCCCCTGTCATTTGAGAAAGTTCTAATATCTTGTAAATGGTCGAGATCCCCACCCCTAAACCATATATATTCTGGTTTGTCATGATAAAGCACATCAAATGTAATACAGGGTTAGTCCCCAGGGGTCACCCCCACCCCCTGCCATTTAAGAAAGTTCTAATATCTTCTAAGTTGTCAAGATCCCCACCCCTAAACCATATATATTCTGGTTTGTTTTGCTAAGATGGTTTGAATGATATACAGGGTTAGTCCCCAGGGGTCATCCCGATCCCCTGCCATTTGAGAAAGTTCTAATATCTTGTAAATGGTCGAGATCCCCACCCCTAAACCATATATATTCTGGTTTGTTATGATAAAGCACATCAAATGTTATACAGGGTAAGTCCCCAGGGGTCACCCCCACCCCCTGCCATTTAAGAAAGTTCTAATATCTTCTAAGTGGTCAAGATCCCCACCCCTAAACCATATATATTCTGGTTTGTCATGCTGAGATGGTTTGAATGATATACAGGGTAAGTCCCCAGGGGTCATCCCGACCCCCTGCCATTTGAGAAAGTTCTAATATCTTGTAAATGGTCGAGATCCCCACCCCTAAACCATATATATTCTGGTTTGTCATGATAAAGCACATCAAATGTTATACAGGGTTAGTCCCCAGCGGTCACCCCCACCCCTTGCCATTTGAGAAAGTTCTAATATCTTGTAAATGGTCGAGATCCCCACCCCTAAACCATATATATTCTGGTTTGTCATGATAAAGCACATCAAATGAAATACAGGGTTAGTCTCCAGGGGTCACCCCCACCCCCTGCCATTTAAGAAAGTTCTAATATCTTGTAAATGGTCGAGATCCCCACCGCTAAACCATATATATTCTGGTTTGTCATGCCAAGATGATTTGAATGATATACAAGGTTAGTCCCCAGGCATCACTAATGCATATAACTTTACTGGACCAAACCAATTTTCACTGGACATTGCCCAATGTCAGGCGACCCTGGGAATTACGAATTATGGGAGCTTCGTTTGGGAGACTTCGTAACAGCATCCTGTTACAATCATTTCTTGTTCTGTTTCTGTTTGTAGAAATGTAAACAAAAAATGCAGGATACCTCAATTGACTGAAACAAGCATTATTTTATCGACTCAGAATAAAAATGATAGATATAGAATTAAGCAGCATGTTTACTCAATAAGGTTACTACGAAATTATGTTTGTCACCGTGAAATAGCCAATACTGCTGAAAGTGGCATTAATACCAACCAACATTTAATCAACCAATGAAGCAGAACAAGAAAAAGTGAAGAGATTTCGAATAAGTTAGGTTTTATTGGTGGAGGAAGCCTGAGTGCCTGAAGGAAAGTGGAAGAAGCTTGAGTGCCTGTAGTTTTTATTGGTGGAGGAAGCCTGGGTGCCTGTAGGAAAGTGGAGGAAGCCTGAGTGCCTGTAGTTTTTATTGGTGGAGGAAGCCTGAGTGCCTGTAGGAAAGTGGAGGAAGACTGAGTGCCTGTAGTTTTTATTGGTGGAGGAAGCCTGAGTGCCTGTAGGAAAGTGGAGGAAGCCTGAGTGCCTGTAGTTTTTATTGGTGGAGGAAGCCTGAGTGCCTGTAGGAAAGTGGAGGAAGCCTGAGTGCCTGTAGTTTTATTGGTGGAGGAAGCCTGAGTGCCTGTAGTTTTATTGGTGGAGGAAGCCTGAGTGCCTGTAGTTTTTATTGGAGGAGGAAGCCTGAGTGCCTGTAGGAAAGTTGAGGAATCTTGAGTGCCTGTAGTTTTTATTGGTGGAGGAAGCCTAAGAGCCTGTAGTAAAGTGGAGGAAGCCTGAGTGCCTGTAGCTTTTATTGGTGGAGGAAGCCTGAGTGCCTGTAGTTTTTATTGGTGGAGGAAGCCTGAGTGCCTGTAGGAAAGTGGAGTAAGCCTGAATACCTGTAACAAAGTGGAGGAATCCTGAGTGCCTTATATTATTTTCAGTCGTTCCTAATCTATCCTAATCATCTTTAACCATTATCATATTACAATACATACAAGTAAACCAATAAGAAGCGAAATTGGAATACTTAGAAGCTGTGTTAGAATGTGCCTTCTATTACTGGAAGCAGTAACCGAGTTAGGACAAAAATTAAATGCCAGTGCATTCCATTGTCGACTTTAACATTTGTGCATTTTCCCATGCATTTCTGATGCTTATGTTATTATATATCAATAAGAGTCAATTGTTCATATAGGTCATTTATTTTGATGGACCTGAGTCAACTGATGTAATTCATTCATAGAAAGAACAAGAAATTTGTCTATTTTAACATTGTTCACACATTTGTTGTTCACACTGCATGTAAAGTAATCTATCATATTAAAAAATGGATATGTATCTTTTTAATCAAGTACAATCAACTCTACAGTTTAACCAGTAGATTAATAGCATTAACCAAACGTGTCTGATTTACAAACTAAAACTTTGATTGATGGAGTTTGTCAAAATGGAGTTTGGAAAGTTTTTAAATCATAAGTTGGTCTTTTTAGCAATCGGTTTTATTGTGACATTGACAAATTGGTATCAGAAACGGGGATTTGCTGCACTACTTGGGGAAAACAATCTGCTTAAACTGCATGTAATAATTGAATAAGATTGATACGTTTCTAACTTTATGCGCTAAACCATTTGTATTGATTTGAAGGCTTAAGTTGAAGCAAGATTCCAATGCAGCATTTGCCAAAGAGTCTTAAAAAAGTTCATACAGACTGGAAAGAAATTTAAAGAACTAATAGCTGTTCTTGCCTTTTCTAAATGAAATTTCATTAATTTGTGATGAAATGCTTCTGAAATATTCTTTATGGGATATGGTAGAGTAACAGCAAATATTATACAAATTTTGGGTCATAATTTCCGAAATTCATTACATTGCTTTATTGTCACACTACTTTCTCAGGTAAAGGGGGAGGGATAACCTACATCATAACATGCATATTTAGTCCTGCCGTATACTTGATGCCAGGAGTCTGTAATCAGTGCAGTTTATATAATTGTTATATGTATTATATATGACTTTGATTGATTTTGGAACATTCAAATACGAAATAAAAGATGAATTTGGGTCTGTTTTGTAGGGTTTTTATAGCAACTCAATTTTCAAAAATTTACAGTCCTTGCATAGAGATTTTTTCAACCTGAAATAAGTGAACAGATGTATTGATATTCATTTGCATAAGGTCAATTTTTATCCGACGCAGCTCATATTAAAACAGGTTGACAGAGAAAAATAGAAGGACATTTCTGAGCAGAATTGTGTGCTGTTGGATTGCTGTTTCATTGATGTTAACATCATATCTACTTTTATTTATAAAACCTAAGGTGTTTGATATGGAAAGACAGTTTTTGAGCAGAAATAGCTCTGTGTGCTTACTAATTTCAACAATACAAATTTCCAGTTACGAAGTTCAATCAACAAGTGGAGTTGAATTATTTTCTGTACTTTTCTGTTATATATGGATTGTCGATCGGAAATTTTAATTATTAAAATCGTTAACTTGATTTAAGAGAACAAAGGAGATGAAATATTCATCAACCAGATTCATTCAATATATAATACACTCTGACAACAGGAGGTCGGATTAAAAAAAATCTTACAAATTGATGTAATGTTTTGTTGACAAAAGGTTCCAATAATTAATAATTGTTTGAGTAAATGGTCACAGGATAATATTTTATAATAAATAATTTCATTTGATAAGGAAAATAAACTCATCATATATACCAGGCCTAAAAGTTTCTCCTTAAAGGCCAAATAAATTACACAGTTGAAGAGCATTGAGGACCTAAAATTCTGAAAGGTTTTGTCAAATATAGCTTAGGTAACCAGCTTCCTGAGTAGAAAATCTTTAAAAAAAATAGAATATGTACAATTATCGGTATTTGACTCATATATATGAAATTTCTTTTGAAATATTCAAATTATGTGTTTTTCATTTCAGAATTGTTAGAGATTCTAGTTCATCGGAAAGATCTGTTTCCCCCACACCAAAGAAAAAGAAGAAAACAAAATCAAGGTTTGGTTATATACAAGTTTATATTCCCATACTCAATTTTATCAAACGAAACATTGAATACTTGTCAACCATTCTACATTTATTAGTTACAAATATTGCAACACAGCCATTTGAGACTTTGAACCCATTTTCCTAACATAAAACAATGTATCATGTTATTTTACATTGTCAAACAACTTAATCCCCTGATGAAAGTTTAAAACTAATCCTTTAAAAAACTTGATATCTATCATTAGGATTCTATTAAGTAAACATTGTATCCTATTTTGATAATAGAAGTTTACATTGTTTATACCATCAAATGATGTTTAATGTTATTTAAGAGTATATAACTAATGTGAGGTGATCTTATTCTGTACTTTTGAATGCATATTATATTTGTTGGATATTTACAGAATTTCACATTACAAAATACTGAAATGAGTAGACCAGTAATGATTAATGAATATTTTTTGTTATAAAATCACTGTTGATTGATATTATATTGCATTGCAGGGATGTCACTAGGTTTTGAAGTAGCAGGATAAATAATTAAAGTAGCAGGCAAGGATTGCGGACGTCGTAGACGTCCGGTGCGACGAGCAAGCTCGTCGCCCATCACAGCGAGGGGTATGGGGGCCGCTTAAGGCCCCCAGAATTTTTTTCTAAAATGGTGCAAAAATCCTGCATTCTGGGGGGCTCCTGAACTCTAATTTAGTCCTAATCAAACACCATTTTTTAATGATGATAAGGTAAATGAGCAGCAAGATGGTCATATTTTCTATAAAGTTGATCACATAAATATTATTATCACTATATCAAGACTTTCAGCTAACAAGTAGTTGAAGTTGTTTGAGGAAAATGATGAAGGATGACTCTGTAAGACATGGTGATCATTCAGGAAAAGATTCAAATTTGATCTTATTAGTTGAAAATATTTTTAGTTTAACTGTAGACATGCAATTATTCTAATAATTAAAACCCATAGACAACATTTTTTTTATTTCTCAGTATTAATAATTTCACATACTTATTACAATGAATTGGACTGTTGCAGGCAAAAAGGTGAGTCTTTAAGGATGTACTTTGGTGAAATTAGAAAAATGTAGAATTCAAAATTGATACTATAAGTCGGAAGACTTTAAGAGCATTTAAGTTAAGAAGCAAACTAATGGAAAGAGAAGAAATCTACAATCTGCTTAAATTTTGGTGTATGACCTTTTATGAGTTATTAATTGAAGTATTATATATGAAAAGAAAAATGGGGGTCATTGGGCAAAATATTTTACCCTGTATAGTAGGAAAAGACCAGAGTCCAAACATCTGACAGAAATTCCAAAACCTGACCTAAGTACATCCTTAAATGCATAATGCAGGGCTCACACTACTTCAGAATCATAGGGAGAAGTGACTTCTCTTTTTGAAACTGATAGGGAGAAGTAGTGAGATTTGAAAGAAAAGTGCTCCTTTGCACACTGTGCTACAATGTTTGGTTTTTACTACCTATAGTACAAAGGGTCATATGTAAATAATGTTCTTTTTATATTGTTCAATTCATATCTGAGTATACAATTAAAGTAAAAAAAGTTCAAATTCAAAGTTGTTTAAGTTTAGGTTCTTGTGAGAAACTACCAACTAAATATCTAGCATTAAAAAGATAAAGAAATTATAATATATAATATATAAATTACAACTCAAATAAAAAACTATCTTGTTTATCATGTTTATGAAATTCAGTGTTTCTCAACTTATGATATACAAAGTTAAGCTGGGCCATATATATTGATATTAGTATTTATATATATATATATATAGTCCCAGAGTTAATTAAGCAAGTTTAATTAAATATTTTGAAACAATCCATATATATGGAATTGTATACATTAATCAAGTAAATCTAACAAAAAGTCTGTTAATGTGTGTGGAATGCGTAATTTTTCCATTTGGGACCAATTTCCTTGTCAGCTGTTCCATTCATGCGTTTGTAGTTATTATTGTAAAAATACGGATTTTGGTCATAGCTGGTCCGTTTCCGATCCGTAGTTAGTAAACAGTTAATGGCGGACGAAGAAAATTTACAAAAATAAACGATGGTTGACAAGCTATTTGGAAAGGAATATAACGTTTTTAATGCAATAAATGGATTAAACATTTACTGAATTTTTATCACGTTCAAATGAAGTAACAAACTTATTTTGTCGCCGAAAGTTAGATTGATGTACGATCTCGTGTAACAAGTACCGGAAGTGCATGAAGTGAAAAAAGTTGTCTTTTTTTTTAATAAATCTGCTTCACACTGTAAAGTCAATGCTTAAATCTCTGTTCTTCAGAAAATGAATCGTTTATGTCTGAATTTCTTTAATTATCAATGTTTCATCGACTTGGTAAAAAATGAAAACTTTGTGAAAATATTATTTTTGACAATTTTGAAGTAGCCGGCGCCAAAGCAGAAGTAACCGGCGGAATTCGCCGGTTACGGCTTCTAATGACATCCCTGCATTGACCTTATCCTTTGTCAGTTGCAACATCCGATCATCAAACAAATATTTCTGTCACATTTCTATTAGCTACTACTGTACAGAATGACTTCATCTTTGGTCAGCAGCTTGAAAATGTTGAGCACTTTTCAGATTTGTCAGACGCCTACTTCTTGTTTGATGATACATTTAATTTTCGATATATGCCGAATGTATAAAAGAATAGATTGTCACACATTTCTTTAGTACTACAAAACAGAATGATCCCATATTTAAGTCAGCAACTTGGCTGTAACATGTGAGCACTTTTCGGATCAATTAGACACCAACTTGCAGTTTCCTGATACTGTGAATTATGATTGGGTGTAGGCTTTGCACAACAATGAGCCTATTCTTGTTTTAATATGATATTAACTAATTTATGACAACATCTTAAGTGTTCTAACCACTCTTTTCTATCTTTCAGGGAAGATAGTTCAGACAGAGAAAGTCGGAGAGAGAGAAAGAAGCACAAGAGTAAGAAACACAAACATGATCGGTACGTGAAGCGGTAGACATTTGTGTTGTGCAATTTCTTTGTTGTTAAAAATGAAATCAAAACATTGTAAATATCATATTTGTATTTCAATGTTAGTATGTGGTGCTAAAGTCAGGACGACTGATTTATGGTATCCATACCTCATGCAGATGACTGGGGTAATATTATGTGTCATTTTTCTCATTTATTCCATTTTATAAGCTGGTTTCATAAATTTTAAGTTAGAATTTTACCTTTTATATGGTTTAATGCTTGAAGTCTTTGTTGCTGGGTTTAAACCTTGTTCATTAAGATCCCTTTATTTTAAATTATACCTCAGCCACATGTTTAAACATTTTATGATATTTACCATTGTTCCAGAGTTATTTCCCTTGAGAAAGTTAAAAAGTGTAAATGTTAAAAATTTATGTTTATTAAAATCCGATGATCGTAAATCTGTTATACAATTCCTATGATCATAATTACATGTAGATATAGATTTTTATTATTTTTCTATTTGCGTTCCTGACTTGAGGGTGTAGAAACAAGAAACAGGAACTAGAACATATCTGTTGTCACATTTGTATTCTTATTTATTGCTGGATTACTGCTAAAAAAATAAACAAATCATCTTTCTAAAGACTTTCAACTTTGAAACAGTCAGAATAATCGAAAATGCATTGTTTATGATTTTTAGAATAAATAAAAGATTCATAACTAGATCAGATGTGGGGAATGAAAATTCTTAAATAAAGCTGACTTTTAATATTTATTGTGTTTAATTAACCTCGAAAAAAGTTTTGAATTGAATGTACCTTGTCCACTGAAGTAGTTATAGATTAATATTTTGGCAAAGTGGATAGATAGAAAAACTAAGTATTTGAATGTTTAAAAGTTTACTTTGTGGCTGGTGGTCACTATTCTTATTCTTGTTTGGATAAGGGGGGGATTGACAATTATTTTTTTTTACACTTAAGACATTTTGTAGATAGATGATGGTTGAAGGACAGAAAATAACATTGAAATTTCACAATTTGTTAATATCATATTCATTTTGCAATCAAAATGTTCAAAAATTCAATTATAAATAAATAAGTCTTATAGAGAGATTTCCACAAAGAAGAGATAAGACCATTAAGAAAATTCTCCTTCAGATTTTTGGATGGTTATGAGGAAAACAATTTCATAAAAACTTCTATACATGTATATTTACATATTTTGATAGCCATGATTGTGAATGCATATTGTTCCTAAATTATGTTTCCTTGGTAAAGCTCAATAGTGTCAAGTTATTTAGATGTATTTATAATCATCTAGTATAATTCTCATACTTACATGTGCAGGTGTATATTTGTTATTTTTTTTCTGTTTCTTACTTTGGACTGCTGAAATAAATATATACATATATTTTTGGGTTGCTGTCTCATTATAAACAACATTTCCTTGCCATCATAATTTATTTAAATATGTTGGTTCTTTTCATTATCATTCTTAGAAATTACAAACAGGACTAAGTAATTATGTTTGTTTTAATTTTCTGAGGAAAACGTTTGGTAAATAATTATTAAAATTCATTATTATTTTGTTTGCAGTTTAGCACATTTTCCATTTAAGTACTTAGGACTGCATTTTATTCTTTATTTTGATTACATCATGTCTATTAATAGAATATTAATTTCACATGTTATTAAATAGCTGCCACATGTTTTGATACAGGTAATTAAAAAAGTATTTTTATTTTCTTTGTTATGTTTGTTAATTTGATTAATATCTAATTTAAATTCTTAGTTAAAGTGAAAGAATATTTGTAGATAAAAGAATTGATATATGTGTGAGATAGATTTTGATTGTCAAATACTGGAATACTGAATAATAGTTGTTTTTATTTCTATTTTATGCACTCAAGCAACAGAAGACCATTATCGTAAAATAAAAATATTTGACCGGTGAACATACAGAAACTTAGCTGCTACTCTTTTGACAAAGTCTTAGGTCTTCATTTGTTTGTTTGTTCATAGAAGTAAAACGGCTTCAGCCAAATAACCTTTGATCAAAGATCACTGAAAGGATAGAAATCTCAACTACTACATTTTATTATTTACTATATATAGAATAATTGCTTTTGTGTATCAGTGAAAATATGTGTTTATTTTTGTAAAAATGTTGAGAAAGGGTTTGATATCATGTCATGTAAAAATATAATTGTTTGCTCCATTTTTTGAATGCAAACTCCTCATTTGTCGAGTTAGATTTATAAAAGGTAAGCTTTCGTATGTATACATTGTTTTGTCTGTTCTTAATCAGCCTTGACATGGTTTTGAGGGATCATTTCAAAAGTATTTTGTATCTTAATAGTTTTGAAGTAACCCCTTACAAAATTGATGCTAGAGAAAAATATCACAAAATGCACCTCAAAACTATTTTATTATAAGCATTCAAATTGTTTGTTTTTTAATGTTTTTTCAAGCATCACTTTTGCCAGTCAAAAAAGAGGCTGAACTTATCCTTAAATTAAATATAAAACTATTTAAAAAACTTTTTTTTTTAAAGAGTACTTGGTGCAAGAATTTATGAAGTTTTGGTTTTGTATAGGTATATTTTGGGGCATTTCAATAACAAATTTTGTCAAAGAAACTTTTGTTTTAGAAAACACAAATTATTTACACCATGTTTACAAGTTCAATTGAAAAGTCATTATTGATTATAGATCAGCTAGTGCAATGTACTTTTGAATGCCACACATTTAGAGGGTAACAATAGATACTAGTTTGATTTTAACATGACATCCAGTGGCAAAGTGTGCTTCTATTTAATATGTTGATCATTAATTAGATTAAGAAATTTCAATAGCATTTTTAAACATAGTGTTGTTTTTTTCCAAGTAACAATTATCAAAGTGTAATGTATCAGGTCTGTAGAATCTGTTCCTACTTCATCAGTTTGTACCAAAAACAGTAATTAAAGCATGACTGTTAACTTTAGGTGGAGGGTTGTTATATAGTCATATTTAAGTCATATTCTTATGATTTTACATCATTTGATGAGTTATTCACAAGTTGATAAAAAATAATTTATGATTATAATATCTCACAAAGTTTAAATCTACCTGTTGTCTGGAATGTTAAAATTACTTTCTTGTTACATAAAAAAAAATGTTATAAATAAGTTTTGAAATTCTCCTTAATAATCATATAACTAGAAAAAAGTTCAGAAGTTTAAAAATTTATTTGAATGCATTGTATAAAAGTAAAATATGATAGTTTCATTGTAGATTTAAACAAAGTGTTTTTTAGCTTGACATTTTTTCACTGATGTTGAGCATAGAAGTGAGAAGATGTGAAGCATTTAATATTTACATGTACAAAAGCTTTATAGAATTTCAAAACAGACACACACTGGTGAACATAACTTAAGATACAACATTGTGGTGGTATCTGAAATAATATTGTCATATTGTCATATTTTTAAATTCTTGATTATTTGGCTTGTCAGTGTTATTTATATCATTAATACTCTGGTAGTTCCAAAAAAAAACTGAAAGAAAGGAATATATTAATTATTGTAATTGATATATTCAAAATAAGCAAATATTACAGGGGCGGATCCAGCCATTTTTAAAAGGGGGGTTCCAACCATATGAAAGCATTGAATTGTCAAAAAAAAGGGGGCCCACTGAACCCCCCCCCTGGATCCGCCACTGCATTACATGAAAGTATGAAACTATCAGTACCCCAGGGAGCTCTATGTGTAGGTCTATTTTGAGAAAAGACTCTTAATTGAAGACTTTATTTGTCATGGCCACATAAAAAGGTAGGAAGTGCCACAGTATTATGTGATAAAAACAAAATTATTTCACCAGTTTGTGTACTTGAAAGGGTATTTTACTTTGTGTAAATCTTTTGTTGTTGTGATGCTGAATATTAAATGTTAATTATAAAATTGCTTGATTTTGTTGCCATGGTTACATAATGTCATATCACTTTATAATATTTTCAGTTCTGAATCTAAAAAGTCGAGAAATAAACATAAGAAGAGAAGGAGGTAAAAGTTGTTTTTTATTTTTTTTGCATGCTTCTGCTGGGAAAAAGTACCTTGTAAATGAATATTGTAAGAAAAGTATCAGGATTTTCTGCATTCCAATGGTATATACTGTGAATTGTTTATTGGGATACCAGTTTGGAAATGTCATAATTATGCAAGCAGTTTAAATTTGAAACCTGTAAATGTCCAAGAAATTTTCAAATTAACGGAAAAGATAAGTTATAAATACAATCTTTTGTGCATGAAAATTCATAATCAGTTATTTCTTACTTTTGCTTACTTTTAACCTGAAAAATAAGAAGAAATTTCTGTACTCAGACATGACCTTTTTCCCCACTGTAATGAAGACCTCCTTTTTTTAATGCAAATAACTTCTTTTTCTAAAATAAGCAATAATTGGTCTTATTATTCTGCCATTTTAGCTCTTTTTACCGATAGGTAAAATCATGTCTGTGTACTACATTCATACCTTTACTAAGCAGTACCTTACAATGATATATAAAAACTGATTCATTATTTTGTGATTTTCTGATCTGGTTGAAATTTTGGTACTTTTCTGTACAATTGGTGGTTTATTTGGTTATTAACTGTTGTGTCAATCTTGGTTTGTTTCTTATTTTTGCTTATTTATTTTCCACATAGCATTATATATAAACACAACATTTTGAAGGCACCCCTGTGACTTTGAGATGAAGAACGACAATGAAAGCGCTGTCACTTTACTTTAGGGTTTGACAGTTGTGTGTAGGGATTTTGAGTAATTAAGATAAATACACCATATCTTCTGTTGCCATTACCAAAGTCAGTACATTCACAGTAAAATCAAATATTCTTCTAATGAAAGATTTTTATCTATTTTCTGGAAGACGTTACATAATTTATGATGTACTTTTGAGCCAAGATCAACCATAAATAAATTATACATCATCTGCAGTCTGATGTTTCAACCAGGAGGTCTATTTATACACATTAATTTGATAAAAGATATAAAATATTTAGAAATTTTTTGTATAGACATAAATTATGAATTTATTGTTGATAAGAATTTGTCTTGTGCATCTATAAAGTAAATAATTCATGGAATTAAAAAGTGTAGCTATTGTTACAACTTTAGGTTCTAAGAATAACTAGCACAAAAATCAATATTAGCTCAGGTCCATGGGGACACTTTCAGTTGACCTAGTCCCTCAAACCACTTGGTAAAGTAATTGAATTTATAATAACCAGTAAATCTATTTATGGTACTTTTAATGTCTTATATAAGTTATTTATTTATTAGTTTATTAGAAAAAAATTACAAATTAGAAAAGCAAGGGTATTTTGTAGTCCAAAAAATTACCACACTTCCAAAAGCAATTTCATTTTTGCTTTGAAGCCTTCATGGGTCAGTTTTTGGGCTATAGAAATAAAAATTGAAAAAATAACCTCAGCAGATTTCATGATTATCTCGAAAAGTGTACATGTCGGAAGTACAATGGAATTTTTTAAATCTGGTTAATTACAGAGAAAAAGTTACAGCGCTTGCATTGCTGTTTTTCATATTCAGGAAGTTCTTCAGGCATTAAGCAAAAGTGTACTCACTTGTGCAGCAAGACAATATGGGCCTTTAGAATCAATTGATAATAAAAGTACTGCATTGACAGAATATATGTTAGACATGCTATGTTTTGTTCCATGATTCTTTCTTGTTTATTTTATTTACTGTCGTGTAGTTTCTGTAATAAATTTTATTGTTGACGCAAACTTTTTTTTTGTTTTGATTATATTAGAAAAAACGTGTAAAAAAAGGATACCAGTACCAGTAGCAGAATTATCAAATATATCGGACAGGACAACCAAACACACAAACCACTAATAGTCTCCCTGAAAAAAAAAACAGACTTAAAAACAAAGAAAACAATAATAAACAACACATTGTCCAGATAGCATGACTTTGTGCAGGCACTTATTGAGCTGGTTTAAACCAGTTTAAGGTTCATGTACCCCCTTTTTCCCCCTTTACCTATCTAGACCACATTGTAATTTAAGTAAATAAGAATTTATTTCATTATTGTGGCTCCAGTGGACAACTGTGGATGGGAAGGAAAATGGCAACTTACTTTAATGTCAATTAGTGACCCATTTAGAGTTATGAAATCCAGAATATTGGTTACTTTGAAATGAAAATCTAGTAGCATGTACTAAAATTCAAATTATATGCTGTTTCAAAATTGTTTTAGACAAACTCTATTTTAACCAAGTAATGGTGTTAATTTAATGCTAACACCATAGTTTTTTTTTCAATTTCATGGTCTATTATGATGAGGATTCTGTAAAACACATCAGAGAATATTCGTTGTCCGATTTTAGGTGATAGACCTTGGTAAAGGGAGATAAATCTTTAAATCTCTTGAAAAATATACAATGACCAATACACTATCATCATAGTTTTTGTTTACATGACATCCTTCCAAACTGAAAGGAGAAGGTATGATAAGACCATTTTTTTTATCCCTTGAATTCAAAAATCAAAAAGTATTGACCATCTACCAAGTATTATCCTTCAGATATTCATAAGACACAAGTCTGTCAGACCTAATTGTTTATATTTCTAAATTTAATATAAAATATTGGCACCAGAGCCTCAAACTTCTTGCTTTAGTGCAAAAGATAAAAAAAACTGACCACATTGAATCATTTTGAGATCTTCTACTTAACATATTTAGATATGAATAAGAGCTTTACCCAAAAAGATTTGCTACAAAATATATTTTACAAAGATGTTTTAAATGCACGCAAGATATTTTTTGGGGTAAAACTGTTGCTCATACAAATGTTGACTAAATACTATATGCCATTGGGTGAAATTGCCATTATAGATCAAATAGGTAAATTTTGAAGTGTTTTATGACAACACAGGTCACCTTTCTGCACATAAGTTTTTTTAATTAAAGCCACTTGGTCATTTATAATAAAATAAACATAATTTTGAATTACTATTTTTGCAATTTATTGGGCCAAATAATGACTCTTATCATACTTCCACCTTCCAAGAAATATCTATGTTGACCATAAGGATATTCTAGAATCTACTATTAGACCAATATGGCATCTGGAAATTTCTTCAAGTTTACAAGGAAGGTAAATAAAAAGTTACACAGATTTGGAAAAAAAGGAAGAAGCCACACATTTGCAGCTGATCTCCAATTGTTTTGACTTATGATTAATTGTGTGTAGTAATTTCTTGTGGTTCGGTTATTTTAATTTGTTGTATGGTTAAATCTGCAGGTTTTTGGTTTATAGGGGGTTAAATTATATTTTGAGAGATAAATAAGTCAAGTATGAAAGGAGATTAAACTTATTAGCTGTGATGTCTTATTCTGTGGTTTGTAAAATCACCAATCAAAGTTTAGATGATGTCATACAAAGTTCTGAACCTCACAACAGGAGAATTTCTACTTTTGGCTGCAGCTTCTCAGATGGAAGTTTTCTTAATACAATGTTTTTTTCAAGGTAAATCTTGTAAAATCCTAAAATAATTACTTGGTTTGATGAAACTCTTAGTGATATGTATTAATAATCTAATCAATAATAAAGTTATTTTCAAAAGAAGTTTGGATGATGATGAGTTCAGTTAATATCTCATACATACTTTAAATCTATTGAATGGACAGAATAAAAACAAAACAGAAAAGTTATTGAAGTATGGACAATAGTTTGACATTTTGTCATGTTGTGGCCTTTCATAGCCTTTTGGTGTTGGATTTGTTCATTGATGAAGATTATAAACGACAATAAAGACAACAACACCCATCAATTACCGCATGGTAGGAGCTTATTCTGGTCGACATGTTTCGCCAACAAGCGTGGCGTCTTCAGGACAATATAACATATGAAATCAAACAGTGAAGTACAAATTTTGCAGTTGTGTGGTTCGCCGAAAGTAAAGTAACAATAGAGGTTGTTATGACGACGTTATAGATATAAATAGAAAGTGAAAGTAAAATAAAATAAGAATTTAGTTAAGTTAAAAGTGAAAGTTAGTCAATAAAGTCATTAACGATGTGGTTAGCTGCTATTCTTACACGTCTGTGTAGTTGTTCTCATGGAGGTTTCTAGTGGTAATATTGTAGAAATGATGAAAGTAGATCATAAAATGTCAGTTCATTTCCAAATTGGACAACACCCCACTGGCCATCCCTTACCAATTCAACTGGCTTCACTCCGAGGGAGGTACTGCTTCCAATCACGTAGGTAATAGGATGAAGATTGTAAGGTGACCTATAGATGCTTGCATCCACATCGTTTAGACTCTGGTTGATAGTTGTCTTTTGGGCAATCATACCACTTCTCTTTATTTTTATAATGAGGCACACTTGACTTTATTATGTTTAGTTATTTTATGTATTTATTTGATTTTGGTTCTTTTCTCACTTTATGTAATTGATATATATATATAGATATATGTTAAGGCACATTTTTTAGGCTGGTAAAAATATGTTTTAATTCTGCTTTCTTTTATAAAAAAGTTTATATTTCACAGTAAGTTCGCTGTTCTAATTTTACTCAAATGGAATAAATCGAATGAATGAGAATTTGTTTGCCTAAAAATGAATTGATTGTCAAATTGATTCCTTTGCAATATTATCATGCCATGTTAAGAGGGAATGATTTATATAATTAATTATAATGATTTTAACAACAAAAAACAAACAAAATGATGTTGGCAAAGTCAGATGTTCTTGTTTTGTAAAAAATAAACCTGCTTTGATTTTACTAGTAAGAGGAGAGGAAAGAAACGCAAGCGATCTGGTACCCCTAGTTCTGTGGTTTCGGGAGGCAGCTTATCAGATCATGACAGGTAGGTAAGATGTTTATTCATTGACAATTTGTCTCAATCTGCCAGTTTATCTGAATATTTTTGAAGTGATGGTAGTCATTTTGTCAAAGTATAAGTTATCTGGTACCCTCAGTTTTGGTACTTATGGTTTCAGTATGTCTGGACAAGACAGGTAACTGATCAACTGTCTGTAGTTCTTTGATATTTTTATTTTATTCTAATATGACAAATATGTAATGTGGTACAATTTGCTCTGTAAAAACCAATATTTTTTCTATGATAATCATTTACTAACATGAAGTTCTGTGGCTTCTGATGGAAGTGTGTATGATTAAAAGAGTTTAAAAGTGATCTTATACTACTTGACAACTTGTGGTACTTATAATTATGACAATGAAATGATTTGTTAAACAGTTATTTAGAATCTGCTTCAAATTTTTGCTCAAAGTTTTGAAAGGCTTGAAACAACAAAAGGGACAACTTGAAACATTATTTACAAGAAGACAACACTGGCAAAAAAATCAGAAGACAGACTTCATTGTTGAAAAAAAAAACCAAGATCATATGGACAAACTAAATTGGGGCAAAAGCAAAATCATTACAAAAAAGACAAACTACTTTAACAAAAAGAAAAACAAAGCACTGTGGCAAAATGAGAAATAAAAAAAAACCCATGTAGAAGTATAAAAAGGAAGGACAAACACTATAGAAATACAATATATTCAAAATGATAGAAAGAATGATAAACAATATTGATGCATAAAAGCCCAAAAAAATGAAGGATCATCAATAATAAAGATAATGAACCATCCTATAAACTCTAGGTGGTCTGGAATGATCAGAGCAATTCCCTCTCCATGTATGGCACAAGTATTATACTTCTTTCAAAAATTAATCAATCAAATGTACATATACATATATTGATGTGAAAGTTTATTTTTTATCACAGTTCTTCAGATGAGGATATAAACCAAAATAACAAAACTACAGTAAACAAACAACGAGAGGAGAGCATAGATGACAGAAAATCTCCATCATCTGAAGGCAAACAAAAAAGGCAAAGGTCAAGGTCATCAAGGAGGTCATCTTCTAGGTCAACAACAAGATCCCACAGCCCAAGGTTAGTTGAAAGTTAAATTAATATTGGAAAAGACCTTTGACATGGAACAACAAAAAATGTATGTTTCAAAGTTTTCTCAGATTGTATGGATTGGTGCTAAAGACTAAATTACGGTAAAACATGACCTTTGAACATATGACTTTATGAGAAACAAGAACTTAGAAAAGCAACAAGTTACCAATTGAAGAAAAAATCCATATTTGATCAAAGGTATGTTACAACTCATTTTTGTCTCGCTTAAAAGAATTAAAAATAAGCTAGACTTAGATGTGTTCTTTCCAGCGACAGAAACAGCAACAATGTATTAGTTTGTGATTAGGTCAGTAATGGGGAACCACTAGTGGTTGGTCAAAGATATTTGGTATGTAGTTGTATTAGCATAGGTACAGCTCATTTCCATCGAGATTATTTGACCCTGCACCTTCAGTCATGGTCTATTGACTGAAACTTTTGCTTAGTTTACATGTTTTAGTTTGTGATTTAGGTCAGTTTAGCGGAAGGTCAATGGTCTTTGGTATGCAGTTTTATAAGCATTGGCATTTCTCATTTCCATGGAGATTATTTGGCCCTGCACCTTCCATCATTGCTCATTGACTCTGGATTAATGGTTTGCATAGTTTACATGTTTAAATATTGCCTTTAAAATTTCAACATATAATTAGGCCACCCTTCAAAAATTATTTGTTTGATGTTACCTACCCATGCTTCATAGGGTTGGGTAGGTAGGTTGGGATGTTTTTTTTTTGAGGCAAAAAGTTACATGTTTTAGACAAGAAAACTATGTCAATGCATGTTAGAGCACAAAAAAAATTTGAAACTATTTGTGTCATAAAATTTTTCTGGTAGGCTGCTTTTTAGGTGGGTAGGTAGGCAACATCAAACAATCGAAATTTTATTTTTGGTCTTTTACTATGAAAAGGCAATGTGGGGGATTTGTCCAGGAGACTGCAATAACAAAACCAACCATAAAAGATCTGGAGGGCAACATACAATCTTCAACATAGACAGGCATCCACGGATCTCCATGGAGGGAAATTTAATGATGGGGAACTTTCACCATGACAAAACCCTGCGTCTACCACATGGCGTGATTGAAAGTATTTCATTCCTCCATTTCTGTGTAAGGAATGGTGAACAGACTGATATATTGCTTATTATTAGCTCACCTGGCCTAAAAGGCCAAGTGAGCTTTTCTCATCACTTGGCGTCAGTCGGTCTTCCATCGTCGTCGACGTTAACTTTTACAAAAATCTTCTCCTCTGAAACTATTGGACCAAATAATCTGAAAAGGGTAAAATTGTTCAGAATGTTGAGCTCTACCAATTGTCCATATACATCAAAACTGTTAGACGATTTCCTGTAGGAGTTATTGCCTTTAAATGACAAATTTTACCACTTTTTTTTTCATTTTTGCCTATTATCTTAAAAACTATAATAGATAGAGAGAAACTTTAAATTGCAAAAATGATCAGAAGGACAAGTTCTACAAATAAGTGTTATGGTTGAAATCGTCAGTTGACTCCTTATTAGAGTTTTTGCCCTTTGATGACGATTTGTACAATTTTTTTCTTAGGTCTTAAAACTTGTAATAGATAGAAAGAAACTTAAATAAACAAAAATGATCAGCAAGACAAGATCTACAATTAAGACAAATGGCAGAAATTGTCTGACGACTCCTATTGGAGTTATTGCCCTTTAAAGACAATTTTTACCATTTTTTTTGTGTTTTGTCTTGTATGTTAAAAATTATAATAGATAGATAGAAACTTAAATAATCAAAAATGAAAAGCAAGAGAAGACCTACTAACAAGAATTAGAGAAGTCAATATAAAAGCATGTGTTCAACTTGTTAAACTTTTTTCTTCATAACTGGATTTAAAATATATTTTTCGATCTAAATTTTCATTAGCATTTGCTGAAACATAATTAAATAATGCAATCAATCGTCTATCTTGATCAAGTGTTCTCAAGTCAAGTGTGTTGATCTACTTGTACAAGCGATCTTCAGCAGGATATCCCTCAGGGCTTTATAACTGCAATCAGGACCCTTTGGATTATAGTACAATAAGGGTTATGCAATTAATTGTAATTGTAATTGCCAACAAAAAATGGTGGCGACTAGTGAAAATAATTCAAATTTTGACTATGGCGGAAGATAATATGACGATGGCAGAAAATAATTTAACGATTGCTCACCATCATAAAACAGGTCATGGAGATCCCTGGTCATCTACAATATGTCATTCTTTTAATCGTCCTGAGTCTATTAAAGTTGTGAATAAATTAAACAGAAACCATCAATCAATCATCCAATTCAATTTTTGAATGGCAGGAGAACATTACATTAATATTTAACTCGATATGTATTGCAGAAAGAAACATAAAGAAAATGGAAACAAGCATAGACATGACAGAAGCTCTGTTGAAAGGTAAATCTTTAATACAACATCAGAAGAAAAATGATGCACACAAACTATCTAAGCCTATGAAAGATGCTAGATAAATTTATTGTCAAAGGGCATTTTTTTTGGTGGAAGAAGACGTCAAGTCTTCTGAAAACCAATACTACCGGCTGGTCAAGTCTAAACATAAAAGTTTCCAGAAGTGTTTCCATATCCCTTTCTGTACTTTATAGTTTTATAACTACCATGCCTCATCTCGACACCGATTTGTAAACATGATCAGTAACAAGTTTGTAAAATAGCGTCTGCATAGTTTTATGAATCAAATGTAGAGTTACATTAATTCAGGCTTGTATAGTCTGTTTTTTTGTCGAGCCTGCAACTTTTGTCGCAGAAAGCTCGACATAGGGATAGGGCGGCGGAGTTAGCTTACTTCTTAAAAGCTTTATATTTTAGAAGCTAGAAGACCTGGATGCTTCATACTTTGTATATAGATGCCTTATGTTACGAAGTTTCCGTCTGTCATATGTCCATTGTCCTTGACCTTATTTTCATGGTTCAGTTACTACTTGAAAAAAAAGTCAATATTTTTTGTAATGTTAATTTCTTTCTTATTATGGGTAATAGGATAACTATATTTAGTATGTGCGTACCTTGCAAGGTCCTCATGCCCGGCAGACAATTTTCATTTGACCTTGACCTCATTTCATGGATCAGTGAACAAGGTTAAGTTTTCGTGGTCAAGTCCATATATCAGATACTATAAGCAGTAGGTCTACTATATTTGGTATATGGAATGATTGTAAGGTGTACATGTCCAACTGGTAGGTATCATCTGACCTTGATCTAATTTTCATGGTTCAGTCGTCAAAGTTAAGTTTTTGAGTTTTGGTCCTTTTTTCTAATACTATATGCAATAGGTCAACTATAAATGGTGTATGGAAATATTTTATGATATACATGTCAGTCTCACAGGTTTTATTTGACCTTGACCTCATTTTCACGGTTCATTTCTCAGTGTTAAGTTTTTGTATTTTGGTCTGTTTTTCTTCAACTATAAGCAATAGATCAACTATATTTGATGTATGGAAGGATTGTAAGGTGTATATGTCTGTCTGGCAGGTATCATCTGACCTTGACCTCATTTTCATGGTTCATTGGTCAATGTTAAGTTTTCATGGTTAAGTTTGTTTCTTAGATACTATAAGCAATAGGTCAACTATATTTAATGCCTAAATTGATTGTAAGGTGTACATGTCTGTCTGGCATGGTTCATCTGACCTTGACCTCATTTTCATGGTTCATTGGTCAATGTTATGTTTTCTTGTTTAAGACTGTTTCTTAGAAACAATAAGCAATAAGTCAACTATGTTTGGTTTATTGAATGATTGTAAGGTGTACATGTATTTCTCGTTTGGTTTATCTGACCTTGACCTCATTTTCTTGGATCATGTTAAGTTTATGTGTTACTTGTAGTAAAGCTTTGTATTTAGGACTATCAACATAAAATCAATGGGGCCGCAATTAAAAATATCTTTGTTTCCCCTTACCCGACCCACCATTTTGGAAGTGGGTAGGTAGGTAGGCTTTTTTTTTTTTTTAGAGAAAATCCCTGAAATATATCTAACACACAGGAAAACACAAAAAAAAACAAGTTGAACTTTATTGATACTAAAACAACATACTGTATAATGTATTATCATGATTATGCATGACTAGAAGACCCTACAATTTCAGACTAGAAAATGTTTGTAAATATCAATGTCTTTGTGACTTAGAGTAGACCACATATAAATTGAGACACGGTTCTATATTTTTCTTATAGTTTTATTAATTCAATTGAAAATATAAAACCCCAACGAGACTGCTACCTAGAAACATTCGATGCAAAAAATATGTACACTTGTTTTTCATTTAAGGAAATACTAGAAGCCACAAACCGTGATCCAAGCGAGTATGACTACGCCTATTAAGGCTTATTCTAGAAAACTATGAATTTATTTTTAACAATAAACTTTACCATGAAACCTTGGGCGTGCCTATGTGCGGATCAGCATTCGCTGAGTTAGCAGGCCTTAAAATGTTTGTTAATTCTTGAACACATTTTACAACGCTTTCAACACAGAGAAACAAAATGATAATGATAGTTGAAGTTCACTTACGAATTTTCCTGTAATGAAATAATATTCTTAGACACTGTCATAATTATACAAAGGAGAAAGATTCTTTAACAAAGGCATAGTATGATACAAGACATTAAAACCAATATCAAACCAACTGAAACATATCAATATCTGCACAGACACTGCTCACACCCAAAAAGTGTTTTCATTGAAAGGATTTATCAAGGGTGAAGTATTGAGGTATCTCAGAAACACAAGCAGCAAAACTGATCTTAAAAAAACAGTAAGAAGCTCAAACGAGGATATCAAATATCTGAAATCAACGATTTTTTTTATCAAACACAAAATACAGAAAGGGAAAACTTGCTAACACATTGCCCAGCGAAACGGGTCAACCGCTAGTAGTGTTAACAAAATTCAACCCATCTATACAGAAACTAAAAATATAATAATGAAACACTGGCATCTTATTTCACAAAACCCTGAACATGTGACCATATTTAATCATCAGCCCATTATAGCTTATAAAAGACATAAGAACTTACAAGAACTTTTATCAAAGCATTAGCTGGTATAGTCATCTCGACTTTTCACATCACAATATGATACTGAGCTCGAAAAAAATCAAAGACTATTTTATCCAAAGACAACTAGTGTATGGTCCAATATCACATACGAAATGAAACAAAATAGCATAAATAGCACGCCAATATACAACTTATTGAGTCAACCACTGATAAAGGCGAACTCAGGGATTTACCACAAACACGACAGAAACACCGGGCCTAACATTTAAGCTCAAGGGTGAGCTCGGATGCGCAATCGTAACTACTCGGCCATTCTCGCTACGCATTTTGTTATTGGAGGCGTAGCTAGAATGGAATAGTAGTTAAGATTGCTTGGATGCATTTATTTAAAACATTATTCCATTCCAATTTCAGTATCCTTGCATACGTTGTTTACCCTTTGCTGCAAACACACGGGCGACAATGATATCGCGGAATGTTGAAAATATGGACCATTCAAGGAAACGAAATTAAAAAACGAACTTTTGAGCGAAACGAAATAAAAAAACAACAACGTGATTTTCGAAAAAAATTATTTCAGTCGGCGGATTTTTAGAGGGTCGGTCGGGTAAGGGGAAACAAACTTAATTTTAATTTTGGCCTGGTTAGTAAAGAAGGCGAGACATTTCAGCGTGTGCACTCTTGTTACTCCTAAATTAGAATTGCCAAGCAGGGGTGCGGATTATAGAGTACAATAAGCAAGAAATGAGAGAAAAACTCAATTTTGCGAGGTTTGTTTACAATCCGCCATGTTTGTTATTGAAATTGTAGAGGGCACCCTTATTATTTTCAAAACTAATATGTAATTTGATTCAAGTATCTTATTGCAAAGGAAATTGAACATTTCCCCAGTTTAAGTTGCTTTACCTCTGTCCATTTAAATTTTTGGACAATGAACTGTCCCTTGTAGGTATTGTTCTCGGGGAAGTTCATTCACTTGGACCTTTAAATTTCACATGAGAATTCAATCACTCATTGATTAGTTTACCTGATGGAAAATTTGTTCTCCTAGATAGATGAATTTGTGTATTACATGGCCTTGTATTGCATTTCAAGATTTCATTTATTTTTACCATGGTACATCTTTTACTTCTCAGATCTCCAGCCAGTCACAGATCTCTATCCATTACCAAGAAGAAATCAAACAGTAGATCTATAAGTTATTCTCCAGAATCAAGGTCAAAGAGAAAATCATCTTCTAGACGATCCAGACATTCAAGACATCACAGTAGAACTAGCTCAAGAAGTCGCTCATCAAGGTCAGGGTGTTCTGTTTCCAGGTCTAGGTCAAGAAGCAGAAGTTATTCAGCTAAAAGGTAAGAATTAATGGATGGAATAAATAGAATGGTTTTATTTTTCATGTTTTCTTGATATGCATATTGTTTCCTAAAGATAATTTAACAGCTGTTGGTTTTCTCTTTTGAATTGTTTTACATTTTGTCATTCTGTGGCCTTTTATAATTTTTTGTATGGTATGGGTTTTGCTCAAAGCATCATGATTTTTATAGTTGTTCACAGATAGATGGATCATTGGCAATCTTACCACATCTCCTTATTGTCGAGTCTGTGACATTTATTTCGCAAAAGCTAGACATAGCGATCCTAGATTCCGTCGGCGGCGGCAGCGTCAACATTTAGGTTCAGTCTAAAGTTAAAGTTTTTTAAGACATCAATAAATTTGTCAAACCTTCATGGAATTTTATGAAATTTGGACAGAAGCTTGTTTATGACCAAAATACAGTATCCAGATTAAAATTTTGAAAATATTTATTTTCATTTTTCCATATTTTACTGATAAATGGACCTATTTTTTTTTACAGTAAACATTCAGATTCAGTCTGAGGTTAAAGTTTTTCAGTCATCAATCAGGGGTGTGGAAATAATTGTTGGGACCACTTGTCCCCAGGCAAGTGAAATTGTAAATTTTACTTGTTCGGAAGAAAAGTTATTTGTCCTGATTTCTTAATGAATTTTGGAATGAAGATGTATTTTACTGTAAACTTGTATGTTTCAAAAACACAATGAAAATGTTATTCATGGTCTTTGTTTGTATGTTAGAATAATAAAAATATAAGTAGAGTATACACAAATGATTTAGAAACCAACCAAAAAACAACTTTAAAATAAAGAATCTAGAGGCCAATTTTGCAAATTATTTTTGTTGCTAGCTTACATGAACCTGTGAGATTATATCATGAATTATATTTTCTTCATTGTGAGCCTGTTTTAAAGTTAATGAAGAGATGAAAACCAAATAATTGATAAATTATTGAATTGTTTATGAGGTGCCTCCTTTCCGTTGGTCAAATAGCCGAGCGATGACCTATCTAAAGATGCTTATCCAACTTGACCGGTCATTTAGTTTTCATTCTTGAAAAATCAGAGCTCGAAATTAATAATGACCATTTTCAGTGTAACGTTACTATAACCTGATCTATGATCCCGGATCAATGGGAAAAAATAGCAGAACATTAATGAAAACCGGGTCCGCATACTTATTTTTTTTGTTTGCCAATGGATCTATTTCTTGACAATTGATGTTGTTTTACTTATACTTTTAAACATGTTGCTTTCATCTTACTATTTGATAGTTTTCTACTTTGATGAATAAATTTTGAGGACTTTTCTTTATGAATATGAAAATTAACATTGTCAAGCAACATTTTTTTTACTTGTCCACAGGCAACAAAGAAACAATAAATTGCTAGTCCTTGCAGTCAAATGTACGAGTCGGGCATAGCATTTCCACACCCCTGTCAATAACTTTGTTAAGCCTTCATGGAATGTTATGAAATTTGGACAGAAGCTTGTCTATGACCAAAATGCAGTATCCAGGGCAAAATTTTAAAAATATTTATTTTCATTTTTCGGTATTTTACTGATAAATGGACTTAGTTTTTTACAGTTTACAAGTAGATACAGTGTGGGGTTAAAGTTTGTTACACATCAAATACTTTGTCAAACCTTCATAGAATTTTATGAAACTTTGGCAGAAGCTTTTTTATGATTAAGAGATAATAGATATAAGAAGATGTGGTATGAGTGCCAATGAGACAACTCTCCATCCAAGTCAAAATTTATAAAAGTAAACATTATAGGTCACAGTACGGTCTTCAACACGGAGCCTTGGCTCACACCGAACAGTAAGCTATAAAGGGCCCCAAAAATTACTAGTGTAAAACCATTCAAACAGGAAAAACCAAAGGTCTAATCTATATAAAAACAAGAAACAAGAAACACTTATGAACCACATCAACAAACGACAACTACTGAACATCAGATTCATGACTTAGGACAGATGCAAACAAATGCAGCGGGTTTAAACGTTTTAATGGTACCAAACCTTCACCCTTTTTCTGAAACAATAGTGTAACATCACAACATAGAAAAACACACTATAAAATATCAACTGAAATAGCTTAACTCAATCAAAGGACATATTAACACCATTGAACATACACTGAACAAATAAATTTGACCTATGATACAATGTAAATACAAAATAAATAAACTAAGGGAAGAATAATAAAAGTAACATGTTATATCGGTAAGAAATGTTAAACAATTAAAGAAAAACAATATGCTCGAACAAAAATATCAGCCATTTGCAAAAACTTTAAACACAGGTAAATGAAAATAATTTTGTTGTTAGGTATACGTGTACAGTACCAATAGAGAAAGGAAATATTTTTACAAAATAAATAATTTTGATGTTCATAGTACGAAGTGAAAATTTATAGTAATACCAAACACTTATCAAAGCTGGTATATAGACCAGATATAAATCAAACTTTTGAAAATATATTTTCATTTTCAGTCTTTTTCTGATAGATGGACTTAGTTTTTTACAGTTAACATTTACAGAAGTCTGGGATTCAATTTTTTTGACATGATAAGTTTGTAAACCTCCATGGATTGTTATGAAACTTGGACAGAAGCTAATCTTCAAGACCAAGAAATAGCATCTAAAGAAAAAGTTTGAATTTTGTTTTAAATTCTATATTTTACTGATAAATGGACTCACTTTTTAAGTCAACATTACACTTTTACACTGACAGCAGCAATCGTAGGCAAGAGACAGGGTTCTGCGGAACCCCTTACAAATTTTATTGTATTTAAGGTCATATTACATTTTGGAAGATCATATTGCAATTTGGTTCTTGTCAGCTGACCTGGACCACAGGGCCAAGTTTCCTTTTCATTACTGGTCGTCCTTTGTCTGTCATCGTTTGTTTTTACAAAAATCTTCTCCTCTGAAACTGCTGGCCCAAATTTAACCAAACTTGGCCACAATCAATTTTTGGTTATCTAGTTTAAAAAAATGTGTCTGAAGACCCTGCCTTCCAACTAAAATTGCTGACATGGCTAAAAATCTGAAGGGTCAGAAATGTTCAAAATGTTGAGATCTACCTGCTGCTCATTTACATCAAAACTATCTCTGACGACTTCTTATGGAGTTATTGCAGAATATTACCCATGATTGTCAAATTTTACCATTTTTTTCATTTTTGCCTGTCATTTAGAAAACTATAATATGGTATTATTATGTGAGTATTTCTGTATTGGTCTTGTTATTGGTCCGAGGCTTGCTGTATTGGCCTGAGGCGAAGCCAATTTTACAGTGTTAAATTGTTTTATATACCACAAAAGATAAACATTTTTTACGTTGAAGTGGAACTATCCAAATCTGTGTTTCCATTTATCATGTTTATAAGCTGCAATATCAAATGATCTGGTGCTGTTTCCAGGCGTCTTCTACATTTTCTCATCTGATGAATTTTTCTACCCTTACCAGTCACTATAAAGTGTTACAGTTCATATTTAGACGCAACACATAAATAGTAATTGGAAAGGTACTGCCATTGCATGTGTAATGCAGAAACAAATTATTTTAAAAAAATGTAGGAGTTTAACATGTTGAATATGATTGAAAATGATACAACTATCCATAAGGCAACTGACCGAAGATTTGAACAATTACAGGTCACCCTTCCACAATGCATATGCCTGGTTCGGGTTAAAAAATAAAGGACAGTTTACAAAACATGAGAAGCGAAAGTAAACAGTAAATTGTTTGTACCTGAGGTCAACAAGAAATTAACTTTGTGATTAACTACTCGTTGCCCAAACTTGTAATAATTCAATTGTCTGCTGACAAAATGCTTTTTAAATGAATGTGACCCTCTTTAGCCTGAAATATATGCCACACTGAACGCTTCGGCATGTTTATGGTGAGTAAATGAAAACTGCGTCTTCCTAACGACTGTTTACTTTAAGTTTGTGTTTATCATGACTTTCGATCTAAAAACTAGAGACGTTCTGAAATCCTGTATTGGCCGGATCAGAACTCGGCCAATACAGAAAAAAAATCAATATTGGCTGAGTTATTCTGTATTGGCCGAGTTGACACTTTTATATTGCATAGGCAGTTTTCATCATATTAAGTCCAATAACAGAGTAGTTAATTAATAATAGAGAGAAACTTTTAAAAGAAAAATAATCAGCACAACAAGATCTAGAAATTAGTCAACATGGCTGAAATCGATTTGCTTCCTAATGACACCAACTTTTTTACGTTTTTGCCTATTATCTTAAAAATCATAATAGATAGAAACTTTAAAAGCTATAATGATCAACAAGATAAGATCTTCAAGTAAGTCAATCACTTGACTCCTTATTGAAGTTATTGCCCTTTAATGATATTTTTTCTCAAATTTTTGCCTATCATTTTGAAAATTATAATAGATAGAAGGCAAGAGATAATCTTAAGTCTATTTGTTTTTGTCCTATAATGATGATGTTTACCATTTTTTTTAGTTTAAGCCTATTATCTTGAAAAGTATAATGGAAACTTTAAAAAGCAAAAATGATCAGCAGGACAAGATCTACAAATATGTCAATGTGTCAGTTAACTCTTTATAGAGTTATTGCCCTTTCATGATAATTTTTACCAAAAAGTGGCCATTGTTGAAGACACAGGCTCTTAAGAGCCTCTAGTTTTAGGGATAGCACCTTCATTACTTAGAAAAATATGAAAAAGGAAACCACTTTCCTAGGTCAAGTTCCATAATCAGAAAAATCTGAAATGAGGGACCATTATTTCTGGAAAGTGACATGTTTAAAATAAATCACTGTTAATTCTAGTTGCTTGAATAGGGCCTTCATTTTGCAAAACTTTTGCCAGTAAGTCACTATAAGTTCTTCCCCTTTACATGGGGGTGTGGAGTATGTGAGCTAAAAAATAGAAATCCTTTTATTTGGTAATGATTTGTTTGCATGGATGGCAGCAGTGATCACTTATGCTCCTCTTTATCATTAAGGAATTTTTTATAAAATGTAGATTGTTATTTATTAGAAAATACATCTGTTCTGCACCTGAATATTATTCTGTTAAAATGGAGAATGGCTGACATTTATTTGAAATTTTTGCAGACACAGTAGAAGCTCATCTAGATCAAGGTCAAGAAGTTACTCCAGAGGTCGTCATCATAGTTACTCACGGAGTCGTTCTCGTGAAAGAAGCACTTCCATTAGACGTAGACGTGGTTCACCAAGTCATTTAGACAGAAGAAGAATAACCAGGTAGAAACATAATACGCTGACCTGTCTTAAATAAACCAGGAGAAAAATAAAATGCTGAACTGTCATAAATAAACCATGCAAACTTCATCACAGCAATCAATCAATAAAACTTGCCTGTATTATCTGACTTTCTGATTGGTTGTAACTTTATTTGACATTATAAGGTTATTGCACTTTTAATTGATTTATATTGTCCCTATCAGAATATTATATTGCACAAGCCTTCTAAGGGCAATATTTATTCTACAAGGCATAATGTTTACTGATATTCAAGTAATTAATCTTTTTTAGTAGGAATAAACTTTCAAGATGATTTGTAAGCACATCTTAATTAATATCCCCATTTTTCAACAAGATTGTGCTTGTGCAATACCTTGGAATTTCCAAATTCATTTTACAAGGTATATTTCCTAACAACATGCTGGATGAGTACAACATTCAAGAACTGCCACACATCAGAATCAAATAAAAATGCTGTGGTGATAATTCAATTTAGGCATTAAAACAAAGTACTAAAATGTGTCCTTCCTTAAGATAGTGAAAGACTTCTAAGTCAAGTGGTACAAATTTATGAACCGAAGAATATTTAATGGCAGTCTCAGCTTAAAGGATTTTCTACCCAAAGAGCAGGTTATCCTTGCTTTATTAGCTGTATTTGGCAAAACCTTTCAGATTTTGTATCCTTAATGCTCCTCAACTTCGTACTTAATTTGGTCTTTTTAACTTTTAAGGTTCCAGCATCACTGATGATGAGTTTTTTGAAGACGAAACACATGTAAACACATGTAATGTAATGCGTACAAAATTTAAAAACTGGTATCCATGATGAGTTACTTTAAGCCTCAGTAAATATAGTGCAGTATTTGTAGGTTATTGATTGGAATATTTTCCAAGTGTTATTGAATGATTGATTTGTGATGAATTTGCTACGGTTATCTTTGTGTAAAGTTTATATAAAATTAAAGCTATCAACATGTAGCTTTCAGATTTGAGATAAATCACTTTTTCATGTTGTTCCCGTTGTATTATGTATTATGTTTTTGATATATATATATATATATATATATACTGTATTATATTTTGTATTGCTTGCTCAAAGGTTTAAACTTGAATCATTGTAGTTTTCTAAATAGAACTCAATAATGCTATTGTCTTTTAGAAAAAAAATACAAAAACCCAAACATAAAAATATATCTGATATGATTATATGATGTTATATTTACTTTGTTTTTGTTTTTTCTTTTAATTATATTTGTGTGCATTTTTTTCTTTTTAATTGCCATCATTATTTTATTTTGTTGTTTAGCACAGTAAACAAATGATATGCATATTGTCTTAGTAAAATGAAAAAAATATATATTTAATGAAACTTCAGAAATATGAAAGAAGTACGCACTTCGTAAATTGAATAATATGAAATTGACATTTTTTTTAATTTGATTAGTAACAAAAATATATCTGCACTTACATACAAATTACTTAGACAATTGTATATTAAATATCTCAAACAATTCTATTATTTATGTTTTCTTTCCTGTCAATTTTGTTGTTGTTTTGTTGTCTTATAGATAGATGGAATTACAGGTAAGCTTGTGTGAATCTAAACAGAAATATTTATTTACTAACTAAAAACATTACAGTCTGTTTGGCTCTTCCAATGAAATTATAGTGTACATAACTCGAATAATTCAAGCCCTTACCGTCTCCGATTCTCTCCACCTTTCGAGGTGTGATCGATAGGGAGCGTAATATAACGACTGGATTATTCGGGTTATAGTGTACATTGCATTATACAAAAAGACAGAGATGTTTCTTTTAAATTCTCTGTCCTTCATGGGAGGATCTTCTCATCGTGAGTCCACCCAATATCTCTTCTGTTCAAATGAAATAAGTTTATGAACTGACAATGCATAAATAATTGGGAGATAAGAATATTGTTTTATTTTTAAATTATTGTGGTACTTAAAAACATACTATTTTAAATGTTTCAAAAATAACTTTTATTAGTATTGGGAAACATTTACAATATCTTATTGTCAACATTTTATTTGAATGTCTGAATCTATAGTTTCAGGTAAAAATTTGAATCGGAATACATATAAATTTTTATAATGAATAGAAAAGTAGGTATAAGAATGCCACTAAGATGGTTTCCTAACCCTGAGTTAAGACTTGATTCCAGTCCGACACAGGGTGTTTCAAAATACATGAAGAAAGATTCCTTGCCTAAAAATCAGGCTTTCTACCAACTTACTCAATCTTCTCTCAAATCTATTTTATTTTAGTTATAGACTTTAAACATTCATATTTTGATGTTCATTATAATTTATATGCTTTTGTCTCTCTTTGAAAAAAAAATACTGATACCTATGAAGACTTAATTTATCCAAGATTACAGAGCATCTTTTGAGAAATCCTTTGAACTTAATAGACTTCAATTGAAGTATAGATCTCTTAAATATTGTTTTCAAAGAGAGACAACTTGTACTATTTCACTTTTGCTTTAGAAAAAAATGCATGGCTTTCTAGTGTAATCTGACATTATAGATATTTATTTTAAATGGACTATGTCTGAATGTAATTCCATTAACATTTTTTTTATGCAAAGTCCAGGACAAGAAAGCTGCGGCAATACCAAAAGTTGTAGACTTTAATTGTTCATTTAGTCACAAATTTTAATTAAATATGAGTGGAAAAAATTATCTTTAATTTGAGATCATTTACAAAATTTGAATCCTGTAAAAGAAAGACATGCATTTCCTTGTTTATGTTTTTTTTTTTTATTTATTTCTGTTGCTGTTGTTATGTTGATTTCAATGTCTTTATTTTATTTTCTGTTTTTTTTTATCACTCTGTTAAGATCTAGGTCATCAAGTTACAACAGATATTACCACCATTCACGTTCTTACTCCTCGTCTCCACGATATCGCAGATCAAGGTCATCCAATTCATACAGGTGATCACATGATCAATAAGGAAGATAAATGAAAAACCACAACATGGTATAAGAATGTTTACAAGTTCTTAGCTTGCTAGCGAGTTTGATATTAACAAAAGCAGCTTTACTAAAATTTGTTCTAGTTTTTTCTTGGAATGTTCGTTAACATTTATAATTATGTTTTATTATTGTGTTCTTGTTCTTTAAAATGTTGAAATGGTTCTTTCGACTAAAAAGTGTTCTTACTAACCAAGTTTTGTTCTTATAAACTGTTTATTGCTTTACTGACAGTATTAACCATCTTCTTGCATAGAAACTTAGACTGATCAAAGATAAATAATTGATTCATGAAATCAAGTTAAAAAATAATTTTCTATCTTATATTCCTTATAAATATGATTTTAAAACATGTGCTTGCCATTATCTCTGCAGCAAGAATTGTAAACAGTTTGTAAGTTAACTGGATTTCTCAGATTTTAATGAAAGAAGCTTTTAAACAAAGCAAAACAAAAAAACGACAAATTGTTATTAGGGTACAGATTTGTACAAAATATAAATACATACCAAGCTTCAAATTAATACAATACTATCTTTGCTACACTAATTTACCTAACTAAACCCTGTATTCATTACTAACATGTAAACATGCACACCTACTAGTACTCTGTATTCCTTATTAATACGTTAAAAACTTAGTTAACTATCAGAAATGCTGATACATCTGCCAATACAATATATTTACACATTTGATAAATTCTATGATTTTAAATTATGTTTAAAAAAATTTGTCACAAGATCTATCAATTTCAAATTTTAGGTCATCTTTTTACAAAGACTTTTTTATTGTTAATTGTCTGACAGTTGAAATAATTTAAATAGTTGCAGTGAATTATTTTATTTGCTCAAAAATATTAAATTCGCTGAACACTTTTTATTGATATGAAGTAAGTAAATTCAACTGAGGGACAAAACAAAATTTTAAATACTGATTTTTAAAAATATTAACACATAAAGGATAGAAAGTTGAATTTAAAACAAACGATTATATATATTTCTTTGTGCATATTTTACATGTGACATTTATATTTTAGTGCCAGAAAGCGTCCTGTACCATACTATAGACCAAGCCCTCCATCTCCCAGTTCTATAAGTAGTGATGACTCATATTACAGATACAGGAAGTCACGGAAGGGTTCACGATACCGTAGTCTCAGCCGTAGTGTACCACTCCGACGGAAAAGAAGTTGGAGTCGGACATCAGACTGATTGATAGAAATCTTCAAATAATCATGTTGTCTTTCATCAGCTTGTATCTGTGTTAAACTTTGATTTTATGCAATAATTTATGTTCTAATAGCGTACAAATTGTAAGGGTCATTTTAGAGACAATAATCTACTCTAGGTCAAATAAACTCACATTCTCTATGATATATATTTGAAACAACAAATTTTAATAAGTTTAATTACATATATTTATAACTGGATCTTACACATTTTGAATTTGTAATGGTTGTTTAAAATTCATGAAAAATGATATGATTTAAACTCATATTTTGACAATCAATGCATTTCTGCATTTCAAAATTGTCCCTTGCCTTCACACCATTCTACTTCAAAGTATTCAAATTTCAGTGAAATAATATCCTTTCCTAAATGAAAGGAAATCAAATGGTCAAGGTTCTTCTTTTTGTTTGGACTAATGCTACTTAAGCCTATAAGTATAAATGGTATATGATTTCAGTTATGTTTTAAGAAATGTTTTCCATTTGCCAAAATGCATTATTAATAGCTCAAAATGTTTTAATTCTCAAAGTACAAACTATGGTATGATTTATTTTCAAAATATTTCTGATATTAACCTTCTTGGAATTTGATAACAGGTATACCTTCTTTTCATGTTTAGTCATATACACTTTCATTTCATGTAGATTACAAGCCTATTATACAAGAATTAATCTTTTTATTTGTGAATATTTGCAGACATTAATGTTAGAATATACAGATCATATTTAGAAGGTTCCACTGATTTGAGCTAATATTTTTGAAATACTGAGTTATTTTTTGACTGTGTTCATCAAATCACTTTATTACAATTGTCTGGATTTGTTGAATAAATCTCCCGAATTATTGTCTTGAACTCAGATTAAAGTCAGAGGATAGTATACCTAAGTGCACTGCAGCACATTTGTATTTAAACTGGTTTGGATTTTTTTAAAGAAAAATTGAGCACTTGGAAGTTAAATATTTATTGAAATCCATGCTTGATTCTGTAGTCTGATCAAAAATCCTGTACATTCCATATCATTGACAATAATATTCAGTGTTTTATATATATCAACTATTCAGTATTTGTATTTTTTTCTAGTCATTCCACTAACTTTTATAACTTAGTTATTTTTACCTGTATAGTATTGTTATTTTATTTATTTTTGGCACATGTTGTGGGTATTTTACATAATTGTTGATATTAATTTTTACATGTTGATTTTATCTTGCTCATGTATTTTTTATGTTAAAAATAGATCTATTTAATACATTCCAGAAACATGTTTAATCTTCCATGATCAATATAGTTTTATATAAATTGGAAAACATCTGAAAAAGTATGAAATATGTATGGGAAAAAATTACATTTTTTTCAATTTGGTGTATTCAAGACTTTTATTCTTATCACATGATGTTATTTTTGGTCCGAGGGGGATAACTCCCACATGTTTCTTATAAGAAATGTACAAGGCTATAGTTGTGGAATATATAATACTAGTAGATCACTTTAACTAGTATAATTTTATTATTTAGTTGTATGGGAATTCCAAGAATAGTTTTAACAGTAAAAATTGATTTACAATTTACAAATAATATTATGTGACTACATTGAATGTACAGAGTCATCTTTCATTTCACATGTCATGCATTTTTATAAGCATGAAAATAAAATGTTTTAAATGAAAAATAAAAAAAGTTGTTGATATTTTATTTGTTATTTATTTAATTGATGCTACATGTACTTGATGGAACTTCAATGAGTATTCCTAAAGCTCAAAATTAAATTTTCTTAAATCATCTTTAGAATAAACAACTTTCAAAATTATGTTTTCTTAAATTCATATCAATGTACATGTATTGTGATCCTTTTCAAAGTATTACAGCTAATGTTCCCAAAACCTGTACTTAAAAGAAAATCTCACACAATTCATTTAAAAGTTATAAAAAAATCTTGATAGGTATATAAGAATATCACAATTGTGGAATGTCGATTGCAATCCATACATGCTCATCAACTTTCTAGCAATAGAAACAAGGAAATGTACTTAATTAAAAATACTTTAAAAGGGCTATTCTTTACCTAATCACTAGGGCCAATTAAATTATATGTGTGATCCTCTTTTTGAAAAAATAAAGATGGTTGAGTCATTTATCTCAGTTATTTTGTAAACACTTTTTCAAGCTTCAGTTTGAATTCATTCCTTCAACCTGAGAAAGTGTTTCATGTTTAAGTCAAAGATTTTCAGGGGCCTAGACAGGCGAGTGGTCTGAGTAGTGCAACTACTATAAAACTAGCCTGTCAGCAGTGAGGTTGTGAGTTCGAATCCCATACATGGCAAGTGTGTTCGACTCCAATCTGATTTGACTAGGATTGTCAGTTTTCCTATGGAATGTTGATGGTTCTCGCCAGTCACTCCAGCTTCCTCCACTAATAAAAACTTATCGCCACAAAATAGCCAAAAGTGCCTAAAGTGGCGTTAAACACCAATCAATCAATCAACAAAAACATTTTATGTTTGTGTGCTTGATTAAAAAGTTACCATTTTTCAATTATCTGAATATGTTGGAAAGAATGTACCTGTTATTCACTGTGTCCATTTCATACCAAATACAACCAACTGTTTATGGGTACCACTGGTGGAGAAGGAACTTTACCTTATCCTTCTAACGCACCTGGGTTCTATGTTTCTGTCCTTTGTTTCCAGTGTAGATATTTTTTGACTTGTTAGGAGTTAAAGATTGCATTCATGCAATCAAAACATTTATTGGACTTGCTTGATAGTTGTATTTTCCAGACCTTGTCACTACTTTTGAGAGCAAAAAAAAAACATAGTACATTAAGCACAACATTCTATGCATTCTATCTAAGAATTTTTTAAGAAGTTTATCAATGAAATATTTACTAAGATATTTAAGTTACAAAATTATGTGTATGTGCGGTAAGTTGTGAATGATGTGTTCGAAAAATTTCAACAATGTCACTGTTAAAGTAATATTTGAAAATAGAGTTATCTTCCTTTGACCAATCAACAATTATTGGTAAAGGAGGATATCTCCCATTCATAGTATTGCCTTACAATGCAATGTTTTATTTTTAGCTCATCCTGCAAAATTCATGCAATTTCTACCCTTCAATGGCCACAAACATTTTATTTTTCTTTTGGGTAAGGTACTGTATGTACTTTTTGGACCTATGATTTTGTATTGCCCCTTTAGTATCATCTTAACTTTTTTGCTTGTTTTTATTTTTAGTCTAATATGTCTAAAGCAGGCTGTAGTAAAATATGCCCTTTTTAGCTCACCTGGTCTACAAGGCCATGTGAACTTTTGTCATCAATTTGCGTCCGTCATAAATTAAAAAATAAAATCATCTTTCTGAAACTACTGGGCCAAATATTACCAAATTTTACTTAAATATTCCTTAGGAATTCATGTTTAAAAGATGTATCCAGGGATTTAATCAATCATCAAATGTCACTACTGTTGCTAAACTTAGAAAGAGATCTTAGGGGTAAAATGCAGTTTGTCCTTAATCTCTAAAACTGAAGCAGTTAGAGCAAAACTGACTGGTTAGAAATTATCAACAGGTCTGTCTCCCATAGAATTTTCTGATAAACCACTGAAGAGTTATTGCCCCTGAAATGTCAAGTTTTTGGCTTATTTCTCAAATAATAAAAACGTTATAGCAAAACTGACATTGTGCAAAAATGATCAGCAGGTCAAGGTTATCTCCTATAAAATTATCAGATAATTCAGACAATCCATTTTGGAGTTATTGTCCCTGAAATGTATTTTTTTTTACAAAGGAGTAGGTCTGGTAAGACCCCTTTTTGGCCCCAAAATATAGCATTTCAAAAATTTGTTAAAAATGTAAACTTTTAGCTATTTATTTGAAAGAAGAATACTTTTGTTATATACATATGGGCTGTTTTTGACATAACACTGCACATGTATCAGGTACTAGCATCATTCATTCATGCAAAATTTCTGAAATCTTCACAATTTTAGCATTTGTGCTAATTTTAGACGGTTTTATTCTAAAATTAAGGTGGCAGCACTTGTGTTCAGTCTTAATATTTAAATATATGTTGTATTTGATGATGATACATAACATATATAAAGGTTGAGACTGAACACGAATGCGGCCACTTCCATTTTAGACAAAAACCATCTGAAAGTGACGTTTTGTGGCATATTTGATAGATTTTTCATATTTAAGCTTGAAAGAGGGACGAAAGATACCAGAGGGACAGTCAAACTCATAGATCGAAAAACAAACTGACAACGCCATGGCCAAAAATAAAAAGACAAACAGACAAATAATAGTACAGATGACACAACATAGAAAACTAAAGACTAAGCAACACAAACCCCACCAAAAACTGGGGGTGATCTCAGGTGCTCCGGAAGGGTAGCAGATCCTGCTCCACATGTGGCACTCGTTGAATTTAGGCGTCTCTAATGACCAAATCAGTCCAAATCTCTTAGAATACATAAATTAATTCAATCGACTGAAGAAGACACTTCAGTGTTTAGAAAATGTAAAAAATAATGCATCAGATGTACTTCAAATTTTAGGCCAAAATAAACCCTTACTGGACCTTCTCCTTTCCAAGTAATTTTATGTCATATAATTTTCATATTCTAAGCCATAAAAATGGCCGGGACAAAAAAAGATCTACAAGTGTGTTAAAATGGCAGAAACTGTCAATTAATCTTTTATTGATTGTTGGTTGCTTTACGTCAAGCGGCAAACATTTCATGCATGTTCAGGACGAAACCCTTTAAAGGAGTTTTTGCCTGTAATGATGATTTTTGTCTCACCTGCGACGAAAGTCACAGAATGCGTGACATAGGGATTACAATCCAGCAGCGGCGACGGCGTAAACTATTTGTTTAAAGCTAAATATATTTCAGAAGGTAAAAGACTTGGATGCTTCATACCTTGTATACACATACCTTATGTTGAGAAGTTTCTGTCTGTCATATGTCCATTGTCTTTGACCTCATTTTCATGGTTAAGTGACTGCTTGAAAAAAAAATTCATTTTTTTGTCAAGTGAAATACTCACTTATTATGAGTAATAGGATAACTATATTTGGTATATAGGTTCCTTGCAACGTCTACATATCTGTAAGGTAGGGTTCACCTGATCTCGACCTCATTTCAGGGATCAGTGATCAAGTTTAAAGTTACAGGGTCCGTATCTCATAAACCTAAGGTCAACTATATTTGGTGTATTGAATGATTATAAGTGTACATGTCCGACTGGCAGGTTTCATCTGTCCTCGACTTCAATTTCATGGTTCATTGGACAAAAAGTTGAGTTTTCGTGGTTTGGTCTATTTCACAGATACTATAAACAATAGGGCCACTACATTTGGTGTATGGAATTATTGTAAGGTGTACATTCCGTCTGGCATGTTTCATCTGACCTTGCCTTCATTTTCATGGTTCATTGGACAATGTTCAGTTTTTATGGTTTGGTTTATTTCTAAGATATTTTAAGCAATAGGTCAATTATATTTGGTGTATGGAACGATTGTAAGGTGTAAAGGTCTGTATGGCAGGGTTCATATGACCTTGACCTCATTTTCATGGTTCATTGGTCAATGTTAAGATTTTGCGGTTTGATCTGTTGTCAGGTACTTTTAGCGATAGGACCACTAAATTTGGTGTATGGAATGATTGTAAGGTGTACATTTCTGTCTGTCATGGTTCATCTGTTGGTTACTTCATTTTCATAGAACATTGATAATGTTAAGTGTATGTGATACTTGTAGTTAAACCTTCATATTACAGACTTTCAACATTATATTTGGTGGAAAACAGATTAGACATTTAAGCGTGTGCACTCTTGTTACCCTTTTTTGCACTTTTTGCGGAAACTTAAGTGTTCAGCAAAATAAGATCTACAAATAGATCAAAATGGACGAGATTCTCAGAAGTTTCAACATTAAGCTACATAATCTTCCAAAAACAAAAACATGACACAAACCGACTTACAAACCATTTTGTTTACATACTTATTGTAATATTGTACATTAGATCATTGTTTTATCAAAAATAGCACCCGCTTTTAAAATAACGTACTATTTGATAATTAAAATTGATAAATTTGTTAACACTTTAAAAACGGGTAATCACAAGGCTGAATAAATACAAAAGCTTAATGACTTGTTAAAGTTACAGAGTTAGTGATAACATCTTTCATAACAATATGATTGGGGATACTATCTCCATTCTATCTTCAATGTCATATTTTAACCATTTACGCATCCGTAATTATATATATTGTTTGATATTATTTTTGATGAAAAGTACACGCATTAATTTTGAAATGAGATGTTAAGTATTTTGTCCTAAACAGAAGGTAGGCGAATTATTTAACTAAAAAAAATCATTACATACAATTTGCCTATGATAAAGACATTTCTCTATACTTGCGTAAAATACCTTTTTTTAAGTATTGAGATCACCTTAACGCATTTCCAAATATATATCATTCTTAATATATGTGTATGCAGTCCATCAAGATTAAGAAACGTCCAGTGCTTATACGAATTTTGTAAAGTAATTTTGTTATTCTGAAAATGAAAGCTGCGCTAAAAACAGTTACATTTCTATGACGCAATATTCTAAATACGAATCATGGTACAAAAATTGATTTGACAGTATCTCATTTTGTCTTTGACGGTTTCTTAA